CCAACATTTGTTGTTGTTTGTCTTTTGGATGGCAGCTATCCTTACTGGTGTGAGGTGATACCTCATTGTAGTTTTAATTTGCATTTCTCTGATGACTAGTGATGTGGAGCATCTTTTCATGTGTCTGTTGGCCATCTGAATTTCTTCTTTGGAAAAGTGTCTGTTTAGATCCTGTGCCCATTTTTTAATTGGATTATTTGCTTTTTGTTTTTTGAGGTGGGTAAGCTCTTTGTATATTTTGGATGTCAGTCCTTTATCGAAGCTGTCGTTTATGAATATATTCTCCCATACTGTAGGATGCCTTTTTTTCTATTGGTGGTGTCCTTTGCTGTAGACACATATAGTTCTTATTCATAGAAAGTGTCCAGAATAGACATGAGTGGTAGCTAAATGATGCAATGTTTCTTTTCTGAGGTGATGAAAATGTTAAAATGGTTGTGATGATGGTTGCACATACCTGTGAATATACTAAAAACCATTAAGTTACGTACTTCAATAAAGCTGTTTAAAAAGGTAACTATTTCCAGTGTCCCTGTGGGGTGTCTGAGCATGTGTATTTTGTTAGAGTAACAGCTCTATACAGTAAGCTAAATTCTTTGTTTCTCCCTCTTTTATTTTTGTAGAAATCATGACTACCCCAGGAAAAGAGAACTTTCGCCTGAAAAGTTACAAAAATAAGTCCCTGAATCCTGATGAGATGCGAAGAAGGAGAGAGGAAGAAGGATTGCAGTTACGCAAGCAGAAAAGAGAAGAGCAGGCAAGTCCTTCACCCTTAGTAATTTATTTTAAATAATTTATTGTTCTATTTTCAGCCTGAAGCCACCTTCCTTTATTTTAATTTTAACTATGTTTTAACATTTACTATATATGTATCCCACACCCCACTATAAAATCAACATGTTTTGGGAGAGGGGGAAAGGAGTGAGGAAAAGTGAAATACCAGAGTGAAGGAATCTCTCAGATTCTTATGTTCCCAGTATAACCACTGTTGAATATTTTGGCTTACTCACTTTTAGTGTATTTTACTTTGCTAATGCAACAGTGTATTTTACTTTGCTAATGCAACTTCCTTAAGATTTTATGTGCATGTTTGCTAATGTATTCTCAAGTGACCAAACATTGCTTTTCATTATAAATTTTAATTTGAACGTTTGTATACATGTACAAAAATAAGAATAGAGAACCTCATAAACCCATCTTTTTGGTTCAGTAATTGTCAACAATTTGACATACTTGATTCATGTCTATCTTTATATTTCTTTATTATGTGGTATTTTAAAGCAGAATCTCAAGGAATATGTGTTTTCACACCTACATTACAGTTCACCACTGAACAACTTGAGTTTGAACAGCAAGGCTCAACCTATATGTGAATATTTTTCAATAAATATACAGTATCTGTAAATGGATATAAGGCAGCAGATTCCATAGCAGATAATAGGAATGGAAAAGGAAAAATGTTGTATGTAGTGGCCTGTACAGGGATCAGACCTGTGACCTTAGTGTTATTGGCACCACACTGTAATCAGCTGAGCTAACTGGCCAATATCTGAACCAGAGGGAAACCCCAGGATGTGAGAAGAGCAGAGGAGCTGCCCATGTTGGGCAACTCAGGAAGGAGGCGGCAAACCTTTGCTTCTTGAAAAGGTGACCTTATCAGCTCTGGCCTGATCTACCTGCAGGCAGGTGTCTACCCTGGCAGGGACCAATACAGCAGCTAATTAACTCTCTACTTGCTTTCTCATCTTTTGGACCCTACAACACTGCCATTTCTTTTCTACTTTTCTTTTCTTTATTGCATCTGCAGTTAATTGACCCATTATATATACAGTAGGTGATTAGTAGTTAAGTTTCTGGGGAGTAATGTATGTAGATTATTGTGTGGGGGCCAATTCCCCTAACCCCTGTGTGTTCAGGGGTCAGCTTTAATTCTGTATTATTGGTAAGGATATTTAGGACATTGATTTTTTATCATTTTTAACCTGAGAACATCTACAAGAGAATATGGACTCACCCTCACTTTACCTTCTTCTAAAAATGCTTAAGACAAATGGTCCATCACTTTTTTGGCAATGAAATTTAAAGACATAACACTTCAGTGATTGTTTTGCTAAAGAGAGACTTTGAACTGGGAAGGACCATTTGATCTCCACACTACAAAAGCTCCATAAAAGGCAAATGAGTTAGAACTATTCATACCTGAGAAATAAGGTAATTTGTCATAGATACTATGCAGTTATAGTGAGTTATTCTCAACATACACTGTGTTATATAACTGCATTAGATAATCCAGTTAGGTGAAGACTAAGAATTATAGCTTCAGTGTTTTATTTGTTAGGACTCAAGTGTTTGAGTCAAACATTTTATTATTATCCCTACAGTTTTTTTTGGACAAAGAGAGTTTGTAATATTGTGATAGAGTTTGTATTAAGTGCAGCAAATTCAGTTGTGAGTCCAGGCCTGACATTCTGTATTGTCTTTGAGAGTAGCCTCTTATCTCGTAAAAGGATGAGTTTCTCTTGGCTTCTTGTTGCCTTTATTCATCTCTTTGTCTCATTTGAAGTGGAAACTTTTCTTTGTATGATCTTTTATATTAGCTTTTTTGGGAATTAATTTCAGAAATTATAACAGCATTGTTACATATGTAAATGTGAATACATATATGTATGCACATGAACACAGTATAGGTCTGAATGCAATAGCTTATACATCATATTTGACATAAAACCATTTGAAAATGTAGTAATGACACTCTACCATTAACAGTGTTTATTTTATTCTCTCTCCTTGGCAGTGGGTGAATTCATGTAATTAGACTTCATTGTTAAAATGTATATAGATTTTTCATACTCACTGTATCAAGTGGCAAGTATGGCCCCACATATCTGACTGAAAACGTTTGTAGTGAAATTCCCTTCATTGTGTGAGATCTGAAATTATGCTAGGGCTTTAATAAGTTTCTGGAAAATGCTCCATTTAAAATCTTAATTTTATCATTTCATATGTGCCATCTTATATAGAGAGAACTGGTAAAACTAATCCAGCTTTTTAATATTATAACAGTACTTGTTTCATGCCTAATTTGTAAAATTGTGAACATCAGCAAAGTACAGGTTCATTTAGGTGCTATTTCTGTTTCCACAATTGCTTTGTCATCTATCAGAAAGTCACAGGCTTAGGCTGGCTAAACAGCTAGATTTGAGGGTAGTACATATGGAGTTGATGCTGGCAAGGACACAGAAGATAACTGCAGGTTTTAGGGTTATCCTTTTAGCGGACTAGCACTTACATATCTGTTATCTAGGCAGCACCTTTCCAGAGACCTGTCCCTTCGGCACCAATAGACCAAACAGATTTATTGGTAAAAAATTTTGCTAGTTGATGTTATTCTGATTGATCCAATACTTGTGATTTTTCATGTATAAAAAGATAAACACTTTGCATTTCTATTAAAATATTTTGAAATAAGAAGACTCTTGCTACCTCAGTGTGAGTAGGTAACAAAGCTCCTAAAAAGGTCCTGAAAACCATAGCAATGAAGAATGGAGGCTTGCTTGATGTTTTTAGTTACAAGAAATATCTTGTGAAATGAGAAAGTTGGTAAGTTTGTAGACAGCAACTTTTCCCATTATTAACTTGGTTGGCACATTCAGACAACATGTAGTCTAAAGTATATAAATCATAATTGTTATGGCATTTTCTTAAAATCTATTTTCCTGTGTAGTACATTCACATAATTGAAAAGTGAAGTAGTACTAAAATACTTGAAACTAAACCAACATGTTCCTGGAGTCATTCCCAAGTAAACCACTTTCAACTGTTCAATGTGGTGTATACTGCTACCTTTCTAAGTATTGTGTGTATGTGACTATACATCTTTATCAGTTTAAAATACTATCTATTGATGTTCTATTGCAATAAGTAAAGATTTAAGCTCTTATCACTTTTCCTCTTAATCCATTCTCCTAGTATAGTTATAATGTGGAAGTATTCATTGCTGAACTGAATAGTGTACTCTGGTGACATTTCCTTTCCTATAGCTTGTTTTTCCTTGAATTAATTGTCTCATTTATTTTTAACCTGCTTGACTTTCTTCAAATTCCTCGCTGTCTTTTCATTCTCTTCTCCAGCTTGTTTAAATTAGTTGTCTTATTTTCTACTTGGTTAAACTTCTCAGATAATTTATCAGCTCCATTTTTTTTCCTCAGGAGGCCTCTACCCTGCATTTTCTTTCTTGCTCCAATCACTGTTGTTTATACTGTGGGCTCTTGCTGTATAGCTGTAGTCATAAGACTTCCCTTTGCTGGGAATTTCTTATTTCTCTTCTTGACATAATCCTTGTGATTTAAATGGTATCATGTTTTAAATTTCAAATTCCATTTGTTCATCAATGCTTGTATTTTTCATGGCCCAAAGTAATTAAAGATCACCAATATAGCATATTAAAGACACTGCCTATGGATATACATTTTGCAAAACCAGTAGATGTAATTTTAGTGATCAGGTTTGATTTTGGAGTCATGTAAATGTTTAAAGTAATTGTAAAGCAGAATTAAATCAAAGTGAGTGAATAAATCCTGAAAAGTAAATAGAAATTAGATGGCCCTGTGTGTCATGCTTGTGGCTGAGCCACATGGAAAAGGATTGTTTTAATACACTTTAAAATATGGTAATATGATCAAGTATTTCTGTTGGGATATATCTTAAGGGCAAAAAGAAGTATAAACTTTCAACTGCTTTTAATAATCATATAAGACTAATAATTATTCTGAAATTATATTTGTGTATGGATGTAGCAAATAGTATTTACGTTAATATTAGGGACCTGGATTTTTAGCTTAAGAAAATATGGAAATATAAAATCAAAGAAGTTATATAAATTTGAGTTGGTAATATCACTAGGGATTCATGATGTATTTTCTGGAAACAACAGCAACATACAAAAACCCAGCTCTGTCCTAAAACTGCCTAAAAATAGTGAAATACCTGTAGCAGTGAGCACTCCTAGTACCCTGAGATTGTGGCCATTAGAATTTTTCTCTCAAAGGAACAAGGCTCCTTGAAAAATAGACAATCTTGATTAAAAGATAGGAAATATTCAAGATGAACCTGTTATAGTCTTCCATAACATAAGTTGTATAAGACCATTGAAATTGTGTTGAAAAGACTGAGGAGATAGCTTTGAATAAGCTCCCATTAGCCAAAAGTGGGATATTTTTGAGTATCAGTAAGGGTTGAGGACCAAAGTAGAGTATCAAGGCTCAGATTTACTCTTCTGCTTAAAAAAACCAGGAATAAACAGACAAGACATATGAAACAACAGTTCAAGAAACCAGATATCAAGCAGTGAAGGTCAACCGTGTGCTTGCCTCAGCTTACTGCATGAGAAAGTCTCCAACCTTCGACACAGGGAGGGGGAACCAAGAGAGAACCCATAGCCTTTCTGAGTTGAGAAAGAGCTGAGAGTCTAGGGAGATCTGGGCAAACAAAGTTCATTATGGAATTCCAGAAAGGAAAGACCTATATGTATATAGAGAGAGAAGCCTATCAACATACACTGTGTTATATAACTGCATTAGATAATCCAGTTAGGTGAAGACTAAGAATTATAGCTTCAGTGTTTTATTTGTTAGGACTCAAGTGTTTGAGTCAAACATTTTATTATTATCCCTACAGTTTTTTTTGGACAAAGAGAGTTTGTAATAATGTGATAGAGTTTGTATTAAGTGCAGCAAATTCAGTTGTGAGTCCAGGCCT